TGCCCTAATCCCCGTGGTGCTCCACCAAGTCTACCAACAAGTCTGCACTTTGGTGCCCCATTTATCAATCATTTAATAAGACTGGGCTTCATTTATCAAGCTGGATATGAACAAATTCACTGCTGCAGTAACTCATGCCAATTCTACAATTCAAAGCTGATTAATCAAGGTTTACATTACTGAATATCCAGTACAGGAGCTCTCATATAATACAAAATTGTTTCCAAACGAACTGGATTTTCATGAATACTACATTTCTGGTGTAAATGCTCCACGTGATAAATGAGGCCCATTGTCCAGGTGTGAAGCTATGGTGCATGAGGGCATGACTAGGAGAATTTGGGACAATCCTCAAGCCTCATGTCTTCCAAGATATTGCCTATTGTGGTGTTCAGCTTGGAGCTTTGACAATGGCTTACATTCAGCGATTCCTGCGGCAGAGTCCAAAACTCACACTGTCATTACAGGGGAAGCGGTGGCTCAGTGGTTAAGGCTCTGGGCTACTGATTGGGCGGTTGTGAGTTCAAATCTCAGCCTTGCCAGGCTGCCACGGTTGGGCCCTTGAGCACCTTTGAGAACCCTTAATTCCACAACGGCTTGGCTGCGTCCTGCCTCAGTGGTAAGTTGCTTTGGATAAAAGCGTCAGGCAAATATGTAAATCTAAATGCTTAATTACTCACTTCAACTGCTATGAGTCAAACTTTTGTCATTTTCCATTTGGATACAACTAAAGTTCTGCGTCATTTAGTCAGTACTTTGAGCCAAAAATAAATTGCACAAAATTACGCTGACAAATAGCTTACACATAGTGTACCGTGGCAAAATCAGCTACTTATCCAATGATGTAGACTATACATGAAAATAGGTAATCAATACTCTGTTTAATCAGTTATTTTTTGTGTTTTACTTCACATAACTTGTTAATGTTCAAAGATACTGTAAGATCATACCTTTGAATATCTTTATCTCTGTTATTAGCTTTAATATTTATGCATCCATTTATGCATTGTTGCTCTTTTAACGGACCCATCCACTACTGACACCTACAGCCTTGTACACCTCATGGGCACACACAGAGAACACACAAATGCACACCATTTTGGGCAGAGCGATAGATACTCCGAAGGCATTGGAAAAAATTACAAGAAAGCAGCCTTGTACAGTTTATCTGAAAGTTTTACCCTGTAAAATTCATGAATCATGGAAGCATGAGCCAACAGAAAACACATGGATGGCTGGAGTTCAAACAACTCATTCATTTTGCTACTTATTCACGGTTTAATTTGGTGCATTGGTCACAAACTATTTGCCTTAACACAAAAAAAGGAATAAGTTGATCTCAGGGAATTGTATGGGGAAAGAGATTCTCTGCAAAATGACCTGGGTCCCATTCTTCATACATGTATAACTGAGTTAGCTAGGTTGGATTGTTGACAGTTTGACATAATGCTGGATCTGTTGGTTGTTCCCAAAAAAAAAAAAAAAAAGGAATCCGTACACTCATATGTACAAAATTTTATTTGTGCTTGTTCTCGTTCAAATGAATTAACTTACAACTTGGAGGACCCCTATGGACACTTATTTTAATGCGAGACATATTGCCACTGTCAGCCACAGCATAGCTGAATTAGCTCATTCGAGAATGATCGTAGGATTAGTTAATCTGGCATACGTCATTTCATCTTGGAATGTTTTTAGCAATGTCTGCCACAGAGTGCTGTTGTTTTACACTGCAAAACACTGGGCTGGCTAGTTATCTGTTTAACTTCATCCTGTTGCAGATAAATGAGAGGTGAAAGTCTGCTCAGTCCGGTGCTTAAAGGGTGCTTACAAAAGCAAATTTCCTTGGTTAAACAAACACACACACACACACACACACACACACACACACACACACACACATTTATGTACTATAAATGTATCACACCCTTCCAAATCCATTTAGTGACACTAAACAACACAGACATCCCTGTTTTGGAACTCCTCACAGTTATGATGTCACTGCCATGAACCCATTTACACATATGATCACCTGGTCACCTTTCGTCAGCTTGATCTGCTTGGTCGCGTTGCGGTATGGTGAGGAGTGCGAATGCGTGTGTATAGTGAGCTGTATATGTAGCCACTGGAGCAGAAGGTGTAAGGGGAAACCGCTAAACATTGTGCTGTTCCTGGCTGTCGGGAAGCAAATGTATCTTTGCTGAAGTTTATTTTCTTTCCCCCCATGTCCCTCAGGATTTCAGTCCGAGCGTAACGGTTTGTTCAGCACATTTCAGCCCGGACTGCTTTTTGTATAAAGCACAATGCTCGGAAGGCTGTGCCAAACTGCTGGGCCAATTCCAGCTTTATGCGGTCTACAGATCCATAGCTGATAATACACTAGCTAGCTAAATAAGCTTTGCTAATGTGTAGTCATCACGCCAGTAACAGTAGTATGTATATTCACTTAATTAGGTCTATATGAACTAGCAAAAACTGCCGGATATATAAGGGCTGTTTGGAAATTTGGCTGTTGCTGATATTTACATATACTGATATAAAGTCTCAGTAGCAAACTTAGTCCTTTTAAATGCTATATAGCACACCAGGTCATGCTAACTAGGAAGTAAAAAACAAACCGGTGAACAGTAAAATGTTTGCAGCTACACAGGTTACGTTTCCTTTACATTTGTGAATTTATAGCGGCAGTTCTTTCAGCCATGTCAAGTGATATATGTGATGCTGCTTTCAAATCTCAGGAGACGAATGTGTTATGCTGCATTTCAAGTAGGACGACCTTTAATTTAGAGCAAACGCTGCCTAGCTAGGCAGCTGCTCCGTAAGTGAAATGGAGGTGAATTTACAATATTGTTATTCGGACAAAATACAGTCCATGCTAAAATAATCAAATGTTTAATTATCGCAATTATATTACATTACGGATTATTATCACATACCTAGCATTAGGATTTGCAGTCTAATTTTGTGACAGGCTTCAGTTCTGTAATGTTTTTTTTGCATATTTCTATTCATCTATGAGACAGAAGCAATGAAACACAGCTGAAAAAAAGGATTTCCTTCTGTAAAAAAAAAAAAAAAAAAAAAAAAAAAAATCTTGTTTCTGTATAAACTTTGTGCATAACTTCAGCGTTTTTCCATCCTCCATCATAATATTATATATTTGGATGTAAACTCACTTAAATTGTGTATTGGCTTGGTAGTTCAGCCAAGGAACCTCCTTGATCATTTTCAAGTACACAGGCCCTCATACCAAGAGCTTAATTTTAGAAGCATGAACTGCCTTGGTTTATACGCATTCCAACAGAAAGAGTGTCCAGAATGGAGTGCGGTTTATGAGTACGCTGTTCTTCTGTTGTAACTCTGTAATGCCAGACTGAAACTGATGTGTTTGTGGGCTTCTGCTGGAAGCAACCCACCACCCCATCACCCACAAATTGCGTCCAACACCAGTGGGTCTTTACAAAGGCAAACACAAATGCTGCCGTCTTCAGCCTGTGTTGTCAATATCAACCCCAGCTAATGTGACACTGTTTTTTTTTTTTTTGGGCTCCATTACAAGTCGCCTTTAAAGACTGATCTCCTTGCTTGTTTACTTTGCTTTAGCATCCGGTCCAAATGTGTCTACTTAGAAAACTGGCTTAATCCCTCAATAATATTATCGTCAGCTCTGCTTTCAGAAGACACGAATGCCACCCTTAGTGGTGATAGATAAATGAAAGCTATCCTTTTCCTCGGTTTGCAATGCACACTTATCTCTTTTCGAATCTGAGGAATGCATTTAGTAATTTACACCACTGATAATTTATACCAAGCGTTTATCAGAAATGAGTCACAAAAGGTCCTTCACTTTTTTTTTTTAAAGCACTTTTCAGGCACAATGACCCACCCACCCACACACACACACACACACACACACACACACACACACACACACAAAGCTGCATATGTTCGCAGTGGAGATGGTACAGGGGGCAGGACACCACTTGCCCTGTGAATAATAACGCTCAAGTGTCTCAACTCACAACATTGTGAACTGCAATTGATCCAAACGACGCTGATTTGGTGAGCATGTGCACTGGATGCACAGATGTTCCACTTCACCTTTTGTACTAGTCCTTAATTTGATTTTGCTATTAGGAGACAGAAACGGCCATGATGGAAAATGGTTTCATTTACTATGGTATTAATCTACATACGGCTTTATTTGTGCCTGTCTAGTCCAATATGTCAGCAATACAAATGACCCAATGTCCAACAGCATGCTTCTACAAGTTCAAGGGTAGACCTGTGACACCATGCTTCGATACAGTATGACCAATCCACTGAAGGGTTCGTTTTGACTGACAGGCATGTTTCGAGAGGTTTGAAAGCGCTGAGGGCATGACCCCATATTTCAGTAACAGTTCTTCTTGATATGGGCTATTGACTTGACTTGAGTTATTCTTGATTTTATGCTTTTTGAGTCGGTAGACTGATAAACAGACAATCTCAAAAATCAGTAGAGATTTTAGTAGAGTGTTTATGAGCTTGTCATGTATCAATGTATACTCACTTCTCATGCCACAGCACTGCTGAATTCTCAAATCGGATTAGTCAGAAGGGTTAGGGTTGCCTGCGAGGTTTATATTAATGCAGTTCTTTTAATACATTATCGTTTCTATAGTAACCACTTGAATAAATATTTGTATGGCACAAACATTAAAAACTTGTGTAATTGATGATATGCTGAAGTTTTCTGTGGGGAGAGCACACCATCAATGATTTTTTTTTTTCCTATAACAGGACTAACAGCCCAGTGAATCAGGCAAAGTGTGTTTGTTATATATTTGGTTCAACAATACAAAATCTCCATGTGTATATACAGTATCTACTCTGACAGGACATGCCTTTACTGGAAATATCATCTTAAAATGGAGATGCTAAATCAGGCCTTCTGAAAATCACCACTCCTGAGCAACACATCCATCTGCAGCCAGAAGCTCCATCCCAGGCCTGCTTTCACAATCAGGGCCATACAGGAAATCAGCACAGCTGCCTTTTTTAGCATCGCTGTTGATTTACCAGTCGCACACTGCATCTGCGTTTCTTTTTTTGGCCTAGCTGATGAAAGCACTTGAAGCGTCTTCATATTTCAAGAGGGCAATGTGAGAGCAAGTGAAGAAAAACAATGAGGTAGGTGAAATGTGGGGTCTACTAAAGGTGCAGAGTAATGTTGTAACGTTAGAGATTGAGAGGTTTTTTTTTTCGAAGGACATTGTTGGATTGGAGTGCCATGGAAAGAATTTAACACAGAGTAACAATTTCTAAAGTTACATTTCTTCCATGGCACTCCAGCAAGATCCTTCAAATAAGTCTCAATTTTTCATATACATATATATACACATTATATATATATATATATATATATATATATATATATATATATATATATAAAGGGCCATACAGGAAATCATTATGTGAAAGCTGAATATATATTTATTTGTTTATATATATATATATATATTTATAAATCCATCCATATATTGTCTGCATCTCAATATTA